GGCAATTTCTACCTAATTTTTCAATTTTTTGGCCAAATTTTGTAAAAAATAGTAAAATTTGCAATAAAAATTCAAATTTGCGCGAAAAAAATTTGAAATTGCGCCAAAAATTTGAAATTTGGAAAAAATTGGAAAAATACCCATTTTGGGGAGATTTATTTGAGGGGGGGATTTATTATTTCGTTGGGGGTCCAGAGGGGGGGATTAATTGAGGGGGATTAATTAGAGGATTTACGGTATAAGGGCCCCAGTAAAGATGACTCAATCGCATAACAGAGCTAAGTTTATTGGTATAGGACTTCTATCTACACAAAACGTTTTCTTCATACATTATTCATATTGGCTTTGGGACGGTTGTAATTGTGTGAATTTTACAACAAGCTAGTTTGGAAAAGCCTTTTTTGTAATTGCTAAACAAATCGTTCGATCTGTCTAAAGTCTTTCAGCAGGGTAATTCTTTTGCAACGAAATAACAGAGCTTTTGCTTAGCTTATTTACCTCTATCTGTAAATTACTAGGATATTTGTGTATCATTTATTTTCAGCAGTCGGGCAGACAATGACCTATGCGCCCCCGAAATATGTTATATATTATGCAAACACAAATCGTATTTACTTTTCATACAATTTGGTAGATTTTTATTAGACCTCACAAAAGTTTTGAGACTGGGCACATAGCTATAATTTTACAACTATGTTAAATGTTACGTTAATTTTGATACCAAGTAGGCAAAAATGCCTATAATAATTAATCCACGAGAGGTTTGGGACCCTACAGACAATTTTTAGCCGAGACCTTTCACCCATACAAATTTTATGGATCCATTACCAAAACTGATATCAGATTCCTATTAACTACCCAGAGAATACACAAGGGCGAAAAATCTACCGAAAATTACCTGGTGGGGATTGGGACCGCATCTGGGGATTACGACACCTTACATGTGCGAAAATATTCAATCACAAATTTGATTTTTACGGAAAATCTAACTATAAGGTGACTTTTACTCAACTTTTTAAAGATATATTAATTAAAATTCCATAAAATCAACGTTAGGACCAATTTATTGTAGTTCAGTCACGAATCTTTTCGGACATTTTTTAATAATTCTTCATTAGTGTATAAAATATTAAACAGTCCTATTAGAAGTTTCAAGATAAAAATTCTTCAAAAATATACAAGCTCGTTAATTTCCATCAAAATAACTGAAACACATATTGCTGTTCAAAGAAAGAAATGTTTCTCTAAATGTATATTCCTTATAGTAAGTTAAAGCTGTCCGTACGTCTCCTGGGATTTTCGGTAAGTGGATTCTTAGGGGTGCTTATTTTTTAAAATGTACTTAATTAGGGTAATTTTTGCGGGGAATCTGAATTTGAGGTCAAAACTTAGCTAAATGTAGACAAAATTTTGACAAAATCTAGCTAAAATGCACCCCAATTTTTAGAAGGGTCATTTTATCCAGTAAGTTCTCGCTGAGAAAAGCGTCCCAATTTTTGGAAGGAGCATTCTTACCAGTGCTTAATATCTTGCCCCACAAATATTGCGAGTCGCCGGAGGCAGCGAGCCAGTTCTGTGGTCGGGCGCGGAGCGCCCGACCACAGAACTGGCTCACATTCCCTTGGAATGTGAGGGAACTTAGAACATATAGATACCTTGTCTATAGCTAAATATATAGACAAAATGTTTAATCGGATTCCCGTAGGGAGTTCCAAATCGCTATAACGTATAGGTTATGTCTGTCAGACGAATAGATAAAAGACATTCTGTCTATAGATCCATATTCGCATTTATTTGTCTATCCGTAAACACAATTTGTGAAAATATTATGAAATAATCGTCATAAGTATGAATATAAAGATTATTTTCCCTGCCTCATTCATTTACTGTTTTTTTTATTGCGATTACTTGCTTTACCAAGTTGTTGCTTTATCGAGTTTTTTACATATCGCTCCGTATTTCTTCATTTCAGAAAGATTCCATGTCCAAATCCAATAAAAATGCACTAGGAAAAATAAAATTGTGCAAACTTTTTGCCATTTTTTGTCAAAAATTTGGGCAATTTATCAAAACTCGTTATATATAGATTAGCTAATCATAATTTTTTTAAATTAAAACCCACAATTTTATAGAACGCCACCGCCACTTAAAGAAAATTAACGGAGCTAACAAAAAGGTACGTGGAGTCAATGCCCATAAAAGAAATCGTAAAAACGCTCATCAAAAAGCAAAAAATAAAAAATCTCTCAACGGCAATGTGAGACACCACAAAAAGAAAACTGGAAACGTAGCGAAACGTCATCGAAAATTAGGAAGCAATAATCCAATGGCACATTATAAGCGTAACGGTAACGCTAAAAAGAAGTGGTCATACAAAAGGAAGCACAATCATCTTCGCTGGAAAAACCGCAGTCAACGCGCCAAAAAGCATAATGGAAAACAAAATGATATGAATGATGCGGTAAGGAAGTTAAGAAAGGGTAGAAACAAAAACGAGAGAAACACAACTCAGTATCGAAAAGGAAGAAAGCAGAAAAAAGAGAAAAGAAAGCTGAAAAAGCTTTTATATTCTATGCTAGAAAGATTTGAATAGCTAGTATTGTTTCGTAGACAGTAAATAGATTGTTGCTAGTATTGTAGAAAAATTGTTAATGTTGCATAATCAACAACACTAGTATAAAAAGATGCCATGTTTTTAATATTGTAATTTTGGCGCGGTATACGCAAACAAATCTAAAATAGTGTTTGTAAAAGCAAGTGAGTCATTTATTGTAATGGAAAGACAGAACTTGCTACAGAGAATGCTGTATTTTGCTCAATTTCATTTGTTTAGCTTCTACAGTATAGCAAACTGCTTAACTATAAAGTTAAACAAAACTGGAAATGCACGTGTTTCATTGTTCTATCATAGAAAATTTGGCCAATCTTGCAAATTTGCCAGTATTTTGCCAAATTTTTGCGTCTTTTCTCACTTTAAGTTTTAAGACTAGCAAATGTCCGTAAAAAAGCACTTTAGATACTGGCATGCAAAGTTGCCTGTAACTGAAAGTTATATATGAAGCTAAACGAAGTGAGAATAATACCATCCTGATCCATATAAACTTTACAAACATTTTCAGACACCTGCTTTCCGGAGCTGTGAGTTTGAAATCCGCGAGCTGTACGTTTTAATCCCGCATCCCTCAAATATTTTTTCACCGGAATTAATTATATTAGTTTTCTATCCTAATACAGTTTTGATAGTCCCTTTAAAATGACTTCAAAATATTGCGCTTTTAGGTTCATTTTAAATTTTACCAAAAATCCACTAAATTTAAAATTTTTACTGCATCCGACCTCGCATAAGCATAATTTTTGTTGAGATGTATTGTTTCCTTATGACTTTTTTGTGGTGTGACTTTTTTGTGGTGAATCTGAAACTTTGGATTATTGAGATTCTATGAAAATTAGTTTGGGAACTCTTTATTATTGATGCAAATTAATGTGTTTCGCTGCAACAACTTCACATTCGCTGCAAATGTTAATGTTCACAACGCTTCATTACAATGTTTTTAGCAATAGATTCCTTTTCTTTCCCAAAAAGTAAACTCACTGGGACGAAATTGGATGATTAATCGAAACTGATACTGATCGTCAGCAAAGAGCTAGCTTAATTTTCTTTCAAAATAGATTTGTCTGCCCAAATTGGTTGCCATTTCAACACTTATTTTAATTTAGATTATTAAATCCCCCCAGTATAGAAACCATTATGTACTTTTGGTCACCGATTTTTCAAAAACCGCTTTTTGGGCCAAACTAACTTGGGGAACCCCCGTTTTAGGGTATGGTTTTGATGTGAAATTTTTTTTCAGACCCCCCACCCCCCACCGAAAGGGGGTAAACGGCCCCCTTTACCCCCGGGGGCCCATTTTTGGGAACCCAATTTGGGGGCACGCTACCGGGGTGTGTGATAGCTCATTTTGTAGGTCTGGCCGAGCTAATACCGAATCCGCAAAAAAAGTTTGGGGCACCGGCCGGAAATTTCAAATTTTGGCCAAAAACGTGTTTTTTTGGCACTTTTTTGGAAACCCAATTTGTGGGCGCGCTACGGGGGTGTGTGATAGCTCATTTTGTAGGTCTGGCCGAGCTAATACCGAATCCGCAAAAAAAGTTTGGGGCACCGGCCGGAAATTTCAAATTTTGGCCAAAAACGTGTTTTTTTGGCACTTTTTTGGAAACCCAATTTGTGGTGCAGATGCCCCCCAGGTGAAGATGCCCCAGGTGCAGATGCCCCCCAGGTGAAGATGCCCCAGGTGCAGATGCCCCCGGTGCAGATGCCCCAGGTGCAGATGCCCCCCGGTGCAGATGCCCCAGGTGCAGATGGCCCCAGGTGCAGATGGCCCCCAGGTGAAGATGCCCCAGGTGCAGATGCCCCCCGGTGCAGGTGCCCCAGGTGCAGATGCCCCCCCCGGTGCAGGTGCCCCAGGTGCAGATGCCCCCCAGGTGAAGATGCCCCAGGTGCAGAGTTTTTCATACTAACGAAGACGCTAGAAGCAGCTTGATGCGCGTCAGCGCATTCAAATACAGAAACGCTTATCACACGTAACCACAAACAAAGACTCCACCAAAAATTTATAAATTTATTTTTTTTACTAGCACCGAAGGTGCTAGTAATTATTACTAAAACAAAAATAGAGTAAACTTATTCCCGGAAAAAATATTTGACGAGAGTGGGATTCAAACCCACGCCTCCGAAGAGACTGGTGCCTTAAACCAGCGCCTTAGATCACTCGGCCATCTCGCCACATATAAGTCATGTTGCAATCCTCAATGTTATCTCGCTATCGCATAACCGCAATATAACGAACAAATTTTAACAAATATTTACTTTCATTTAATAATGTTTTCATCAAATAATAATTCAAATTTATTCTAATAGGATTAATTTTATCGGATTTGTATTTTTCCTGTGCGCACTCAAACAAGAAATAACATAGGGATTACAGAATAGAGTTACGTGAGGCGAGATGGCCGAGTGATCTAAGGCGCTGGTTTTAGGCACCAGTCTCTTCGGAGGCGTGGGTTTGAATCCCACTCTCGTCAAATATTTTTATCGCGCGGGGTTAACAACAGTTTGGCGTTTATTCTGTTCGGTTGAGCAAAGAATAATAAAACCTAACGGTGTCGATAAATTATTTTAGTCGAGTCATTTTATACGAAACATTTTAACAGATTTTAGATATTTCATGCTAGTTTCGTCCCTTACAACCTATACTCAGCATGACAAACCTACTTTCTTACACGTATTCTTTTTATTTTAAATTGTCTAGTCTTATTCTTTACGTTAAATAGAATTAGACGTGAAAGAATAAGACTACACGTAAATTTTTTAAGAGGCGAAGTATAGTCATATGTGAGAAAATATTTTTTATACCACTGCGCTCAATAACCAATTCGGTCTGGAAAGTTATTAATCGGTAAATATATGTAATGAATTCGATACTGAATTGAATTGTTCAATGTATCGATACTGATTGAACTTCAATACATATACATTGATTGTATAAATATTTATTAATAAAATACAAATTCAAAGTCTAAATATGCCTATGGTGGTATTGTGCGTACTAATGAATCATAAAGCAGAATAATATTTAGTAGAACAATAAAAACCATAAATAAGGAAAGAATAATGCTATTATTTTGGCGGGCATCGGTTCAGAAAGTCGTCTGCAACTTCTTCAAAGGTACAGAATTTCACGCCAGGAAATTGTCGAAAGTAGGCGAAAATGCGCTCGAGCATTAGCAATACATGAGGATGACCGGAGACTTGAGGGTGAATGCAAAGCGGGAAAACCGCGTAGTCGTATTCTCGATAAACCCAATCGAAGGCTTCCTTCCACTGCTTCTCCAAGTCAGACGGCAAGAATCGATATGTCATCTAAAATGTGTCAGTTTATTATAACTTTGTCTTATGTAATCTTGGGTATGTTTAAAATAAGAATCGATCACAATATCAAATTAGCATTTTGTCTTGTCTTGGTTTATCTTATGACAAGACAAAACAGGCATTAGAAAAGTAAAAAAAACTATCTCCAGAACCTAAGATGCAATTTTCAGAATGCTAAGATGCAACTTTCAGAACGCTATAGGATATTTTAACATTTGAACAATCCATTAATTATTAATAAATATCTACCGCGCTCAGCGTTGGAAAATCATCAAGAAACCAACTAGCAGGTATCTCCACCAATTTGGTAGTTTGCTGGCCTCTCACCAACGGTTTCATCCACGTTTCAGCCGGTTTTTGATAATCGACTTCAGTCCATGTATCTATAATTCTACAGTATTTATAACTTGTAATGATCTTCAAAAATATTTCTGTGTTTATAAGATGACGTACCTCCAAGACGAACGTAATGAGGCTGATAATCTTGATGCATTAGACTGCTATCGTATTTAAGACCTTTCTTAATAAGCAATTCGTGTGTAACGTTACTCACTTGCCAAAACGGTGCAATATACCTAAAATTGGAAAACGAGACAAAATAAAATTAACGAGATAATTAAATTCCAGGACTAAAACCAATAAATTCGAGAATTAATATAAAACTTTTCGTAATTTTTAAAATTTGCGAATACCCAAATTATGGCAAGTTCTATATTTTTGAAAACTGGAAATGCTTTATTAAATATTGCATAGTCTTTTATAAAAAAAAAAGTTACGGCATTTTACCTATTCAAGGCGAATTTTTTAATAATGCATATTAATTATCCTAAAAATTAACAGAAAATTTCGCTAGCCAGGTGGGTAAACCCCCCCCCTCCCCATACAATAAAAGTTGCTTAAAACGAACAGAAACAATTGCGCAGTAATATAAAAAATTTTTATGTATTCTTTTCTGTTTAATTATACAAAGTTAATAACTAGTTATAAAGTTTGAATGAAAAGCTAGAAAGGTTAATAGACTGAAAGCAGTGAAAAAACTGGAAAATGTCCTATTTTTTGTCTATCGAAGAATAGCTTTGCAAAGCGCAATAAACAATAAATATCGTTGAAATATTACCCTGCGGGCGGTTTTCCACACAATTTCTTGACCAAATCAATGCATTTGTCGAAAACTTGTTCCTCTTGCTCTGGGTTCATTCTCAGCGCTTTTTCGTGGCAATATCCGTGAAGTCCGATTTCATGGCCTGCCTCTGCAACAGCCTTGACCTGTTCCGGAAATGTCTCGATTGAGTGACCGGGAATAAACCATGAGGTTTTGACGTTTTCTCGCTCGAATAACTTCAAAAGGCGCATAGAGCCGACTTCACCGCCGAACATTCCTTGAGAGACGATCACAACGCTGCTTTCTTGCTTGCCTAGCCAGCCAGCAACGGCATCCAGATGAACTCCAATACAGACCAGGATCTCTTTGGGTTTTGTCTTTGGTGAGTCTTCCATGCCCAACTGGAACAAGTTTATGAAATGATCATCAAAGTTGCACTGATGCTTGCAATAATTGTTTCAATGAAAACTATGTCAGGTAAACAAATATTCAAACGGAACCTTTATTCGAAACCAAAAGTGGCAATTCAAATGGCGTTTTGACAATGTGGAAAACAGGGCGCAGAATGAAAATAAATCTAATTTTTAACTCAGCTGCTCGGTGCCAAAATGAACATTTATGACCTTAACAACCTTTTTTTATAAAAGAACATTTTTCATACCAATGAATTCTCTTACTTGTAATTTTTTATTTTGTTGTCTAAAATGAACTTCTCTGTTATTTATTGGTGAATGCAAATCCACATTTATTGGCTTTCAATAGAAACGCATAGGAAAAAATACTGAAGTAACAAAGTATATGTATGCTACTTATACAGAAATTATCGTTCCTCTGCTATTTTCGTGTAAGGCGATGCTTGCTTTTGTCTTGCGCTGCCTGCCGATCGCGTCTCTCTTTTACAAATAGCTCCAGCGCCTAAAATTTTAGAACTAAATTTGTTGACAAAAACTGTATCAGTTTTATGAATTGTGGAAGAAAAATTCATTAAGAAAATACTTACTAACCATTTTCTATGTATAAAACCATCTAAGCCTAACACTGGACAGTGTCCAACCGGAAACAATGGGAGGACGGAGAGGGTGACAAATTATTTTTATCATAATTTCTACTCAAAAGCGGGGAAGGAAAAATACGAGAGGAGAAGGGAGGTCGAAATCCTGATTTTTTGATTAATTTCGTTCGATTTTATAAAATTTCGTTCAATGCAAGGAAGTCATACTCACCCGAGTTTTCTCTTCGATTAGTTCGTCTATTAGTGGCTCCGTAAATTGCTTATCCTGGCCTGGATCTTCATCTCTTTCTTCACTCTAAAAACCATATAGTGTGACTATCTAAAACATACTGGTTTACTTACTTCAATTAAACTAAGAAAAATAAAAAATGATAAGCATATTGAATACCTTTTCTTGCGGAAAAGATTCGTTGAGATTGAACATCCACTGTGACATTGCCTCCGTATGGGAAGTCAAGGCGGAAACCAAGCCGATGCTCTATATGAAAGCAAATACATGAAAAGCATATTCTCTGAGAAGCAATCCTAAGAAAAACTCACTTCAAGCGAATCTTCTCCGACTGACACAAATACAGGGCTGTGGATATCAATAGAGTTCGCTTTGCCAGTACCTAGCGATACGCCAAATGCAAAATGACCAAAGAGAGAGCGAGTGCGGTTCATTAAGGTCTCCATAACACTACTGTGCGTCTAAAATTTATTCATATGATGAGATACGACAGCATGATTAGCAAAGACTATTCTATCACAAGTCATTCTGAGTACCTGTAGACTAGCACCGTTCACGTGAGCTATGAAACGGAGCAATCGAAATGTGCTTCTTTTACGCTCAGTATCGAAATTCTAAAGCGATTCAAACTTATGAAAACTAATATTTTCTAACCTCACCTGAAATTCGTCGTATTTTGCTCCAATAACAGCCATTGGTATCGGCAAAGGCTTGGCGACTCTAACATCCTGAGACACTTTTATCATTATTTCCAGAGCAATATTCTTCCACCAACCTTGTGTAATTGCCATTTCCTAGTACTCATTTTGGAGATTCGCTCATACATGCTTGGCTGATTAATTTGAACCTGTCCCATTATGTGATCCAAACGGCGGCATACAACATCCAAAATTGGCTCGACCACAGCTTGAAAGTGCTCAGGTCGAGTCAGATCGAGGAACAAAATCAGAGAGGTGCTTCTAAAAGCATGTGACACATAAAACAAGTTATTTAAAACTTACATGTTTCATTTTCAGCGAAAAATTTTTAAAGTGGTTTCAAAAGAACCGCTAATTTGTTGATAGAAAATGACATTTTTGAAACTGTTTCCAGAAAAATTTAAGAACCATGTTTCTTGACGTAGTCTAAAACACAAAAAACTGATCCGGGTACCAAAATTAATATACTGTTGGACAGTAGTACCAAAACCTACTCTATATTCTGGTCATTCAAAACAATCTCCAATAGGTTAGCCAAAGATCCTCCACCACCGAGCTCCCAAATATGCGCCAAATCTTTCACCTGTAATCCGATTATAGTTAAAAAGGCGTTGCATGATAAAGATACCATAAAAGAAATGGCATATTTCAGCCACTTTAATGAATAAAGCATTAAACATTTGCGTTAAGCAAAAAATGTTCAAACATACATTTTGCCTTGTTCTAGTGGCATAATTATAATCCATGGCAATGGTCCGGCCTTGACTGGGATCGCTGGTGCGTGGGTCAAGGAACCGGAACACTAGCGTAGATTTTCCGCAATTTTCACTGCCACATACCAAGACTGTGGATTCGCGACCTCCACCACTCGTTGTAGCCGCAAACTTTGCCGAAATCGCTTCTATAAATTTGAGCAATTAATTTGAAGGGAACATTAACAAAAACTTTGACGATGTAATCAAACATTTCAGACTGAGTAGAAAATCGTGAATTGAAAACAAAATTTTTGGCAAAAATGGGGATATTTCCACAGAAAATCGCTTTTCTCATTCATTTGGTTATAACTTTTTTCGGATTGTCGCTCTCTGTCTATATTTAACACAAATATCCGG